GAGCCAAGGAGACCCAGGCTGGGAGGGCCTGGGGGTGAGTGAGGTCAGAGCAGGATGCAGCCTCGGTGGTCAGCAGCCTGGAGACTCCGGTCCAAGCCCCAGCACCCTCTGCCCTCCCTGCATGGGGCCCCTGCAGTTCTCACTACCAGTGAGCCCTGGATCTTCCCGTCTCCTCTGGCCAGCCCAAGGGCCGCCCCCCTGCTTCCCTGAAGCCCACAGCGACCCACAGGCCATGCAGCCCGGGCTGGGCCGTTGTGTGTTTCACGGCCCCGACAGCAGCCCCCCCGGCAGAGCCCACCACCGGGCTGCTTTCCGACCGAGTCCTCTCCTCTTTCACAGCTGAGGGACTTCGGCTCAGGGACCACCCAGGCCATGCTGGAAATCACGGGAGTGAACACGTGGAGGTGCCTGGGACTGACAGGTCCTCACAAGGCATCAGGCCAGATCCGTCCACCCAGGTGGCCTCCAGCACCCCTCAGTGTGACTGAAAACAAAGCACTGTCTCAGCCCAGAACCAGGAGTTGGCAGGAAACAGAGGCACCACCCCCTGCACTTTGGCCAGAGCTGGCCACCCTGAGCCAAAATTCCTCCGGGGGCTTGGAGCCAGGCGGGGGCTGGGCCTGAGGCCTGATGGAGCGGGACTGACTCCGTCCTCAGGTTCTCCTGCCCCAACCTCTCCCCCTTCCCCTGGCCTCTGGTGCCAGCCGTCTGCATGCCACACTGGGCAGCTGGGGGCCAGGAGCCTTCTCCTCCCTGGGAGGCCACTAAGAGGCGGTCCTGGGGTGGGGTGTGGATTTAGGGGTGGAGGGAGGGGCCCAAGGAGAGGTGGGAGCCGGCGTGCCCACCTCACCAGGGGCAGGACTCCAGGGCCAAGGGCATGAGCACGGGAAGCGGCCTGGGCTGACAGCGAGGTGGGAATGCCAGCAAGTTCTGACCTGGCCGAGGGGTCTGTGCTCCCCTCTGAGGTGTCACATGTCCCCGAAACCCTGAACACAGCATGGCCACTCCAGGGAGGGCCCAGCGCAGGGAGACAGGTGCACACATCAGCTGAAATGAAGACAGGGCAGGACTGCCCGGCAGGAGGCCCTGGGTGGGGGTCTCGGGGCTGAGGGGCATTCGGGGAGAGTGAGCCCGGCCTGGCCTCACAAGCGGCTCTGGGAGAAGGAAAGCCCAGGCGGGGCGTCAGTCAGGGGCTTGAGCACCCGCCCTGGTCTCTAGTCCGGCGTGCTGGCAGGGGGGTGGGGCAGGCCCCCGAGGGTGGGCTGCTCAGAGGGGCTGCTGGGACCCTGGGGTCCTTGAGGGGGCGGCTGCTGCCCGGCATTGCCCCAAGCTGGCCGGGACCTGATCCCCACCCTGCACTGGGGCTGGGAGCAGACAGAAAGGGCAGAGTCACACAGAGAAGGGCCCAGACCACGCAAAGACCGGGAGGGGGTGCATGTCGGCGGGGCGTGGCCGGCTCCTGGGCTGCTAAACAGAGCTGGGGCCCCTTCCTGTGGAGGAAGGTGCAGCTAAGCACAGCGAGTCAGGGGACAGCAAGGGGCCGGCGTCCCCATCAGGAGAGAAGGTGGAGGGAGCGGGAGCCACCACGCTCCAAACCAGGGCTGTGGCCCAGGAGGGGCAAGCGGTGGCTGCCATGTGGGTTCCTGGCAGCGACCCACACACCGCACCGGGTCCGCTCCAAGCCGGCCACGGTGAGGAGTCTTCTGGGATGGGGCCAACGGGGGGGGGAGGGCCACGCCCGTTTTCTTTGCTTTGAAAACGAGTCTGCCATGCACAGGAAAGGACGGCTTTCCCTGCTCACCCCGAAGCCTCAGAGGCCCTGGTGAACACCCACGTGGCGCCACAGTCCTCCCAGCCCCGAGGAAAGCTGCAGCCTGCCTTGAGCCCTCCCTGCTCACTTCACTGCTGTGGCCTCTGCTTTCGTGGTTTCTTCCCCTTTGTGAGAACTCGGGGCATGTACGTGGACTTTTCACACAACTCAAGAAAGCCAGCCTTGGGGCCTTCCTCTCTCCCCAGACTCGGACACCCGGGGACCTCATGTTTTGTCCTTGCTTTTGCAATGCACGGCTGTGTGTGTCCGGGCCTGGCTCGCTCTGGTGGCTGGCGTGGGGACCCCGTCCATGTAGGCAGCAGGGACAGGGCCACCGCCGGGCAGGAACACAGATGGAAGCAGGAAACTGCTGAGCCCTGGAGCCCTCCCTTTCCCAACAGCAGGACTCACACTCCTCAGATTCTTTATTTTAAAAGGAATAATCGTCTTTGACTTTAATGAGACACTTTTACTTAAAAATAGATCACTCATCAGAGGACATGCCTGAGACTCCAGATCCTCCCTGGAACCTTCTAGCAAAACCAACGACCCCATGTGGGTCCTGCAACAATCCCACGTTGGGCCACACCTGGGCTTTCATCAGGTTCACGAGCACCTCTGGGGCGAGGCCAGGGTGTGAGGATTCACTGCTGTGGCCACGCATTGTCCCACTTTTTTATTTTTAAAAAATACCCAGACTTTAATGGTAATTTTTTTTTTTTTTTTTTTTT